ATCTCACACTTTGGAGAGTCGAGAAAAACCTACCTTGTCATCGCGCTCATTCTCTGCGGTCTTATCGTTCTTGTCCTCTCCATCCTTGTCTTTCTCCTTTTCCTTTTCTTTCTCCTTGTCTTTGTCCCCACTCTTCTTCGCTTTCCTAGCCTGCCGCTCCTCGTACTCCTTCTTCACCTTCTCGATCTCTTTCGCCATAGCATCGCGCTTCGCCTTCGCTTCAACCTCGGCCGCATCGATGATAGGGGAGCAGAAGTTTCGATCGGTGAGGTGGGAGGGGCAGATGTAGAAGAAATCCTGCAAGGGAAGTCGTTCGGTCGTTAGCACAGCGGCGAGAGACCCATGCGTGAGTTCATCAGATTATCATTGTAGACATCCGGGAATGGCTTACCTTGTTGTCGGGAGTGATGAGGACCGAGGTCGAGGGTTTGTAGCAGATGTAGCATGATTTAGCAGAGGTGTCGGCTACGCGACGGAGGTGATAGGTATTTTGAAATGGCGAGGCCATTGTTTTTGTGAAACTTGGGAAAAGATCAGAGTAAAAAGCGGAAGGTCTAAGGAGTTCTGCTGTTGACTGCGTCCTGGACACGCTGGGGTAGATGGAAATCCAAAAGTTGGAGCTTTGCGCGGGGAAAGGGACAAGTGAAATAGTTTGGGTGCGGAGAAAATAGTCCACTCTTGATGATGTCATGTGACAAGTATACAGTACATGTTGCCCTCTCGAATTCTGGAATACAGTGATCCACTGATAACTACCTGCCCAACTAACGCCAGAGCAATGCATACATAACAGTCAGGACTGACTCTAGGTCTAAGCCTTAACTTTTCAAACAAAACGATAGCCCTTTTTTTTGGGATATTCGACAAAGGGTAGAAAAAGGAAACGGCCAGGAAGTTCATCTTCTGAAATCAGGTGAGTCAAAAACAGGAGAACCAAGTTTACCTTGGATATTCATCACAACACAGTATCTTCCATCATTGAAGTCCCGCAGGTGAAAAACTGTTTGGCTGTTCCTCTGACAGAGCACGATTTATGCTGCCAAGTCGGAAGAAATGGTATTTTACAGACCCGCATTAACCACGCCAGCGGCCTCCTCGGCTAGCCGGAGGTCCCTAGCATCTAAGTCCATCACGGTGAAATATTTGTTGAATGCGGACAGGATGTCTTTGAGAGAGTGTTTGAGCGTCGTCAGGACTAGATCCACATCAGGAACCCGACGAGCCTGGGCCTGCGCCTCCGGATTGCTGGAAGGTGGGAAATCGACGTCCGTCCAGTGCGCGTCCAGACCGCCGTTGATGAACGGCTCTAGGGTTTGGATGGTTTCGGTGAACAGACGGATGAGGGCAGGAACATCGGCTTGGACTTTACCGTAGGAATCCTCTTCGAGACTCTTGATAGAGAGGCCAGTAATAGAGTCGATGGAGTGAACAATGGAGCATATATTGGCGTGGGGTGTGCCAAGGACGATACCGGACAAGCGACGGGCGTAGGTGTGTTGGAAATGGCGGCCGATTGGGGTGCGAAGGGCTTGTGCCATGAGAGGGTGCAGGTCTTCGGGCTTGCACGTGATCAAGGGACCGGTGAGGCGCTCGACGAGTTCCTTGTAAGTAGCAAGGAGCTTCTGTTTCTGTTCGGGACTGAGCACGGCAGATAATGCCCGGTCCAGGACATCAACAGCTTTGGCACGGGCGGTAGGAGTCCAGTCGGGGTTGTTTCCGAATGATTTGATGGTCTCATTCCAAGCCTCCTGGTGAGAAGCGGTCTTGGGGACGGGGGCGAAGATGTCAACCTCATTTGGCGCCTTTAGCGGGTCTGTGAGTCGAGGGAGAGTGCGAAGGACGAGCTCATCCTTTGGAGGTAGGCCAGTGTCGATACCGGAAAGTGCCTTTTTCTGTTCCCTTGTCTCTTGATGTTCCTTCTCATCGACATTTGGTTTGACTCGGGTCGCGACACCCTTGACCACTTCTGTGGTCGCGGCGAAAATCTGAGACCAGGCTGCCCCTTCTTCGCGGTCGATATCATTAAAGATCGCTTTGCGACGATCAGGAAACTGCTGGCTGATCAAAAGTAGTTCCCAGAATGCAAAGGCTCGAACCGTCTCCTTCTTCGCTTTGAGGCCAGTAAGCAAGCTGCCGTTGGGGTCTTTAGCATCGGCTGTCAAAGGCTGGCCGCGCTTGAGGGGCTCTTTGCTCAAAAATATGGAAAAGAAAAGGTTGGCGCTCTGCCAACAAAGCATCAGAAGCGCTCCTGAGACCATTGACCTGAAGATGATTCCCGGTGTGATCGGTGGAAGAAAGCCCGGCGGATGAGCGGCGGACCTGGGGATATCCCAGAAGAGTTTGGCAAAATACAAAGCGGTACTCCACGCATAACGACGGAGAAGAATGGAGTACGCCAGAGGGCAAGCCAAAGCAACGAACAAACCCCTCTTGATTCCGCCAACAATGGTCGGCAGGAATTCAGCCTGGATGCGTTTGGCAGTGGACTGAACTGCACCTTTGTCCTTCTCAGACCGTTTGGCGACTGGGACAGGAACTCGGTCATAATCATCGTACAGGTGAAAAAGCGACTGTATGACTGCTAGCACGAGGTGATAGGTGTAGAGGTATATAGCCCGTTCGTTGAGACTTGCGCGTTCATGAGGTCTGGCATCATATTTTTTCTTAGCTGAGGTTCCACCACGCTCAAAGTAATTCAGCCTTGGGTGAGCACATACCTGGCTCGGTTCACCCATTCCAAGTGCGCACTAAGCGGCGAAGACCATCTGTAGATCTCGTTGAACCACCAGGCTGAGAACATGTACCATCCGAAGGTCTGGAAAGCATCGAACGGAATAAGCTGCTTAAGAGTACTGATTGACGAGGCGGTCGTCCTTGCGCCAAGGTGCATCTGACCAACACGCAGGACAAAGATGACAAGGCTGCAGAGAGAGAGTAGAACTGTTCTAATTCCACAAGCTCCGATTGGAAACCATGACCAGAAGACTAGTTGGATGTCGCAAGTGGTTAGCGATCGCCGTGAGTACGTCTTGCGAGCTGCTCCATCCAGCGTGGTTGTACTTACATGATGATTTCTCACCAAGGGCAAATGCAACAATGTAGCAGACTAACAGCGCCAGTGCAGAAGCATGCACAAATCTTCTGTGCAGGGCCGAGGTCAATATGCGCCGATAAGGGCGAGGCCGTGCAGCAGCCATGATGAGGGTTGGGATCTAAAGTGTGATGGGATGATCTCTAGGCAGAGAAGGATGAATCAAGTTCACCGCATGATCAGAGTAGCTGCAGAATGGGTAGCAAGTACGCCTTGGAATAAATGAAGCTCCAAGCGTATTGAATTGGAGCTCAGTCGAGGGAAAGCGGGCAGCGGGATGCGACGACAAAATGAAGCTTTTCGAACAAAGCACCAAAACACACCAGCCACATCCGTCGTATCAGGTGACCGGGCAACACATCGAGTCCGTGCGTCAGGTGATGGCGGCCTGCAAAACCGGGTGTCCATTGCAAAACCAGGCAACAACGCCATCGGGCCCGCTTCCCCCCTGCTACCGACGTATGCCCTGCGCTGTACGGAGCCTAGACTAGTGTACTCACTACTGTACATGTGCCCGCTTGCATCAGCCCGGAGTCAGGTTGATCTCTACCACTACTACTACTATTACTACTACTACCCAGTAACTTCTCAGTCCTTCCAGCTTCCAACTGTCTACCCACCCAGGGACACTTTCTCCGCCCAGTCATGTCTTTCGATCGCTTAGATTCACTAGAGTCGCAGCCTACGACTCTGCGCCGCGCAGATGATCCACACTATCGTGATGACCCTGAGTTTGACCGCTTGACCGAGAGTCTCTCCAACCGCCTCTTTACCCTCACTTCGAACATCACTCGCTTATCAGACCAGATCGCTCTTTTGGGTACGCGTCGAGACACTGAGCGCGTGCGTGAACGGGTTCACAACCTACTGGAGCAGACTCGCTTGGGTTTCAAGGATGTAGGGGAGGGGATCAAGAAAGTAACTACGTGGGAAGACGTCAATGTATGTTGAGTTCCATCTCGCGGTCCGCGCTATCCCTGGGCTCGGTCCCCTCCAACGTGAGTGTCGCTGACATGTATCCACTAGCCGTCTCAAAAATGGACCCAGCAGAAGCTCTCTTCCGAATTTCGAGCTACATTGGAGGAATTCCAAACCGTCCAGCGTCGTGCCCTGGAGAAACAGCGAGCGTCTGCAGTGGCTGCTCGCACAGCCGTGGAAGACGGTGAGCATGCGGCCGAAGATGGCTTCCAGCAGCAGCAAGAGCAGCTTCTTGAACAACAACCTCGACTGGCGAACCAAGACGAAGTGGATTTCCAGGAGTCTCTGATCATCGAGCGGGAGGCGGAGATCCGCAATATTGAGCAGAGCGTTGGCGAACTTAACGAGCTCTTCCGCGATGTGGCTCACATCGTCCATGAGCAAGGAGGTCAGCTCGATATCATCAGTGAGAATGTTGAAAGAGTCGGGGACGACACTCGCGGTGCCAACGTTGAGCTGCGAAGCGCGAGCAGGTACCAGAAGAATGCGCGGAACAAGGCCTGCTGTCTTCTGGTCATCCTGGCCGTGATCTTGCTGATCATTGTCCTTGCCGTGGTGCTGGGTTGAGTTTCGCCCGCTCACTTATAGTCTGCAACATCGCTGGTTGATCCAGGGTGGGTCGCGGCGTTCCCTCTCTTTTGATGATATCCTTCCCATGTACTTTTCGTTTGTATGCGTATGTTTGCACTCATTTTGCAGGCGCTTTGTCGTCTCCACTCATGACTCTCTTAATGAATGACCGGCGCATATGGAGCAGAGGATGTTTATCTATCTACAACGTTTGTACTGTCTTTCTATGCTTGATATCATACATAGCTTCTGTTATACATGGAATGTACACTGAGATGAATTTACCCAAGAGACCCGAAACTCCTTGTGTTCGCCTGTACACGTGCACCGTAAATCAATAATGGAAACTGCGTTGGACTGCCTACAGTCCCGCGAACTTGCTGAACCGCATACGGCAGCCCTCCCAGGTGTTCATCTTAGGCCGGACGTCCAAGTAGAAGCTCAATTTACCCGGACCAGCATTGGCGGCCAAACCAGCGCCGGTGGCCCCTCCCGATGTCTTGCCTTGGTAGAAGTCGATAACGTACTCAACTCTTTCTCCACCACACCTTTCCACAACCCAATCGTGTCGATCAAATGGTAGCTGGTAGCCCATGAGGTTGTTGATTCGCGCCCGAGGGCTCAGGAATTGAGGGTCGACGCCTAGACCGCGGAATGAGTAGAGCTTGGGGCCTCCACATTTCTTGCTGCCGGGGTCACTGCTGGGAGCTCGACTCTCCCATTCCAGAATCTGCTGCCATGCGCGCTCGTTGACGGCGTTATGAATGGGGATAATGGACGCGACAGTGGTGGCCAGTTCAGAAGCCGATTCTGTGGAAGAAGGTGTGTTGCCCTTGCGCATCAGCGCCTCGAAGAACTGTCGCTCGGACGGATAGATCCAATTTCCAGTGTTGGGGTCGTGGCCTGTCTCAGCCTCGTCGTTCGATGGCGCGCCGTGCGATGCGCTCGGGGAAGAGTATGGTGATGGCGGAGCGTTGGGTGATGCGGGAGATGACGGCTGGGATTGGGGTTCAATGGCGCGTGGGATGCTGCTTACTTCACGATCGGTGGAGAGTGGACGTTGCATCTTCGCCTTCGATTGACTGTCTTCTGAAGGCGGCATTGGGTGAGGAGGAGGGGCAGCTCCCCCGGATGCTTTGTGTTGTTGTAGCCATGCCTCGCGAGTTTTGTGATCAACAGGGCATACTCCGGCTGCCGTGGCAGGCTCGGGGGAGGGCGTACTGGCACCAGCACCCATGAGTATAAGGTAGTGTATCTATATAGTAAGATGTGATAGATAGAGATCAAGATCTGAAAGGGTCGGTGATGGGGTTTCACCGTGCTGAAAGCGTCTGGCGAATGAGAAGTATGAAGATAGAAATCAAGGACTGGAATGAACTTCGACAACGCCGAACAGGCGGAGAAAAAATGGCCGCTCACCGCCTTGAGTCCCGGGTTCATCAAAACAACCCCTCTCTTTGCCCAACTGGGAAATCCATTTATTCCCCTCCCCTCCCTCGTTGGACTGGCCATCTCTTTCTTCAACAACATTCGTCTGCTGCTTCTACGCTGCCAATCAAATCTCCATTCAAGCAACTTGCTGAAGATCAATCATGGCTGCTTCCGCTGATAGTCCCGTCTACCGGGCCACCACGACGGCCCCCGTCAACATCGCTGTCATCAAGTATGTTGCTTCTATGCGTCCCAACCCCTATTGCGCGGTCCCTCACGAACCACATTGAGGAGCCCCGGAAGATTGACAAGAACTCTGCCAGATACTGGGGCAAGCGTGATGCCGTTCTCAACTTGCCTACCAACTCCTCTCTCTCCGTCACCCTCTCCCAACGCTCATTGCGCACCCTTACCACCGCCTCCTGCTCGGCCATCTACCCCGCCGAAGACGAGCTGATCCTCAACGGCAAGCCCCAGGATATCCAGTCATCCAAGCGTACCCTTGCCTGTCTCTCCAGCCTGCGCGCTCACCGCAAGGAGGTCGAGGCCGCCGATTCCTCTCTTCCGAAGCTCTCTGCCCTCCCTCTCCGCATCGTCTCCGAGAACAACTTCCCCACCGCTGCCGGACTCGCCAGCTCGGCTGCTGGGTTCGCCGCCCTTGTCCGCGCCGTGGCCGACCTCTACCAGCTCCCACAATCTCCCCAGGACCTCAGTCGCATTGCCCGCCAGGGCTCCGGCTCCGCCTGTCGATCGCTGATGGGCGGCTACGTCGCCTGGCGCGCCGGCACCCTCGAGGATGGCAGCGACAGTCTGGCGGAGGAAGTCGCGCCCGCCGCTCACTGGCCCGAGATGCGCGCCATCGTGCTTGTCGTCAGCGCCGAGAAGAAGGATGTCCCCAGCACCGAGGGGATGCAGACGACCGTCGCGACGTCGAACCTGTTCGCCACGCGGGCGAACACCGTCGTCCCCGAGCGCATGGCGGCGATCGAGACCGCCATCCAGAACCGGGACTTCCCCGCCTTTGCCGAGATCACCATGCGGGACTCCAACGGGTTCCACGCCACCTGCCTGGACTCCTGGCCTCCGATCTTCTACATGAACGACGTCTCGCGGGCCGCTGTGCGTCTCGTCCACGACATCAACCGGGCCGTCGGCCGCACGGTCTGTGCCTACACCTTCGATGCGGGCCCGAACGCTGTTATCTACTACCTCGAGAAGGAGACCGAGCTCGTGGCTGGTACGATCAAGGCCATTCTCGGTACCAAGGCCGATGGCTGGGAAGGCCCCTTCTACGAGCCCATGAAGGATCTCAGCGCCCCCGGTGTTGCCCTGGACAAGGTGGACTCCAGGGCCGTGGAAGTGCTCAAGGACGGCGTCAGCCGCGTCATCCTTACCGGCGTCGGCGAGGGGCCCGTCAGCGTGGCCGATCACCTGGTCAGCGAGAAGGGCGATGTGCTCTCTCACTAAGGCGCTCTCATGCCAAACTCAAAGCCCCGCGGGCATCGAACTTATGCACACCGCGGATTGCCTTGAGATGAAAAGATACCCAAACCGGTCCCTCCTTTGTTTTGTTTCTAGTGGAGGGATCGTATTCTCTATCCAGAGAGCATATATTCTCGTTTATCGTACGAAGCATATTACAACATTAATAATCATTTAACATTTGAAATTGAATGCCTCACCACCGGCCCAAAGAATCTATGCTTTTTTGTAACCTTTTCCAAAACCATAGCCAGGAAAGAAAGAAATAAAGACAGCCAGCCAGCCAAACAGGTTTCCGATTAACATGCCTGACCAAGGAGGTTCGTTCTAGTTCAGCAAAGCCGACAACTTCAGCTCCTTGACAGCAGGCACCTCCTTACCCTTGCCCACATTGGCAGTGGCCGTCACGCTGTCCCAGAAGACGCTCTGCCCGCCGCCGCCCATCCCCAAGTGTTCCTCGCCGGTACCAAACCCGCCGACATCCGCGTTCTCGAGCTCCCCCTCATTTGCCACCACCCCCTTGGCCCCGTCATTCGCGGCCACCAGAGCGCCAAACACCTCCTCGCGGCTCTCCGTGCACAGCTTCAGCACCTCCTGCATGGCCTTCTCGATGGCCGCGGCGCGCTCGCGCATGGCGCGGCGCAGCAGCGCATCGACGAGCGCCTCGACCTCGCCGACGGTCGCGTTGGCGCGCTCCAGGAGCCGCCGCACGCTGTTGACGAGGTACTCCTCCTCGTAAACGGTGCCCTTCTTGCCGCGGGCGCGCTTGCGCTCCTCCTTGCGCCGGGTCTTGGACGTGTGGCGCGACGAGGTCGTCTTGCCGGTCTTGCCCGTGTTGCCCGTGTAGCGGGTGAACATGGAGCGGCCGGCCAGCGTGGACGCGTTCGTCGGCGCCAGGGAGACGTTGTCGGGGATGTCGACATTCCCATCCCCGCCCGCGCCGCCCAGGGTGGGGTCGCCGCCGAAGTAGGCCAGCGGGTCCGTGGCGCGGCGGACGCGCAGTTCGCGGATCCGGGGCACCTGCGCGTTGAGCTGGGAGCGGAAGTCAGCCAGCAGGTCGGTCATGGCGCCCATGGCGTCCGAGAGTCCGCCGTCGACGATCTCCGGGATCAGCGCCTGCTGGCCGTGCAAGGCCAGAAGGCGCGTCGCCTCGGAGAATTTGGACGCGCGGCAGAGGAGGCGCGCCGCCGTGGGGACGTCGCGGAGATGGTCGGCGTGGATCTGCGCCGCCGCAACGTAGTCCTTCGTCTCTTCGGTGAGGGTGGCGGCCAGGGTGCTGGCGTGCGTGGCGAGTTCCTCGGCGGGGAGGGGGACCATCGTGGCGCAGTAGATGGACTCGCGCCAGAGGTGTGCCAGGTGGTAGCATTTGTATGCGTCGGTATAGAGGGAGAGGGATTCGTAGGCTGGTGAGGGGGGTTCGGTTAATTCAGGGAAAGGGTCCGAGATTGTGCGGGGTTTGTTTCACGTACCAATTCCTGCTTCCTTGTACTTGGATTGATCGAACAGGTGGTCAGCGTAGAGGTGACTCATGTCTCGTAGTTGCTCGGCTTGGTATCTGTACAGATCGATGGCATCCTTATAGAGCGTGTGCTTGATGGCGTAGGCACGGAGCTCATCATGAGCGTTCAGTGCATGGAGGTGTTTCAGGGCTTTAGAAGTGCGTCCTAGGTAATTATCGATCTCGAACTGGCGTCGGAGTTCCGGCATCTGTTGCAGCTTTCTCAGGAATGGAAGATACTCGCGGGGGTCCTGCGTGCTGTTAGCTCATATCGTCGTGAAGGGAATCCGAGGCACCGACTCTCTGAGCTTGTTGGGCAACAAGTAGCGTGAGTTCGAGGTCATAGAGACCCAGTGCATTGTCGTACAGACGGTTGGCATCTGTCAAGAAGCACATGTGCTCTACTGCGTCGTCGGCTTGTTCGGAGCTTTCCTCTGCTATGTAGTCAGTATTTGCTCCCAAACGTGAGAAGAAAAGTGTCATACCTCTCAACCGTGCAACCAGCTGAAGACCGGCCTCAAGGTCAGGCGGGGACTTGCAGACATGAGCAGTGATCAGATTGTGCAGGTTGGTATCCAATCGCTTCTCAAGAGTAGTCAGGAAAGCATCGCAGATCCGGTTAACCTTACTGCTCTTGCTCGAGGGAGCGGATAGAGCAGCGAGGGCAGGATCTTCGGTCTTCTTCTTTAGCGTGTCTTTGTACAGTGTCTGCGACACATCCTCCTCACTAGACGCAATTGTCAATCGTATGCTTCGCTAGGTGAAGTAGGATTTCCATACCTCAGACGAGAGATAAACTCGTCGATAAAGTCGATTCGCTTGACCTGATCAACGAAAAGTTGGATGCTCTCCATGAACTGCTCGGGGGCATAGTCATGAATGATATTCATGTCCACCATCTGACTACGACAGGTCAGAAACGCTGCCCGATAATTCTTGCGATCAATGAATGACCGGATACCGGCGAGTACGAGGGCCCGAGGGTATATGGTTTCGATGTTGCCGCGGGGCATCTGTAAAATGACAGCGAATGTCGAAGGCATGACCGTGACCAACCGTCCTCCGCGCTCGATGCTTCTGCAGCGTTCGTCCGTTTCCGGGGTATCAGGAGGTACATCCATTTCTGAAACATGGGCGTTAGTTATTGTATGGTGGTAATTAAAGTGGACTTCCAAACCTTCTGCTCTCGTCAGGTGAACGAATTTGATCAGGTGTAGGGAGGTGGTGAAGACGATATGAGCTTGTGTGAGAAGAAACGAAGTGCAGTTCTTGGCAAGAAGTGTTTTGTTGGCATACAGAGCCCCGGACTTGGTCATAGAGATGAGAAGAGTCTTGTGGAATATTAGTGATCAGTGATACATAGAATCTAAGAAGTGGGTATACCTCATCTTCAGAGATCTGCACAGCTTGCGCCCAGTACGTCTCGGCAGATGGACTTTGGCTCCATGGCATAACTTCGAACTGGTTTGGAGAAGGCATTGAGATGTAGGAGTAGGTGATCGGGTGGTGTGGTCCTAGATTGTGAGAGAACCAGAGCGATTCATGCCCGAGAGATGCGAACATTGACATGATTTGTTCCGAGTCGGCTGCTTGGTAGGCAACCTTAGTCTCCCGAGTCTCGAGCGTAGTCCGCTCTATGCAGGTGTTGCTAGGCCCACTGCTCTTGAGCACGTAGACTTCAGTCTCATTAATGAAAGCGATCTGGCGGGGTCGACTATTCGGTGCATCCGAAAGTGGATAGCTGGACTCAAGTATTGGGACAGGGACTGGTCTAGTTTTGAGGGCCCAGATAAAGACGGAGAACCGATCGTTCTCAAGAATAGCAATGCGCGTTCCTGACTTGCTGAATGCCACGTCAATGATGTTTGAATCAAGTGTCAATTCATTATGGGCCATAGGGGGCGGAACACCGGCCAGCCTCAAGGGAGTCAGCTTCAAGTTTTCTGTCATACGTCAGCAGCTTGAAGTCATAAATGCAGGGCAAACACATACTCCCGTCTACAACACCCACGGCACCAACATCAGCTGGGCTTGTAGTGGAGCCATGGGCGACGTCAAACACAAATTCCACGTCCAGCATTGATTCTACCCGGTAATTAGCATATGACAATCCACGAATTGAGGGCGTACCATACCATGAGCGCCAGCAAAGAACCGCAAGGCCTTTTCTTGATGCCACGTGAAGGTAAAAGGAGTAGCGTAATCGGAGTTACTGACGATAGGGATCTCTTGCTTCAAGTAATAGTGGTAATTGCCCATTGTCCAGAATTGGACACGATCTCTGAGCCGGACAGCGAGAACAGTCGAATCGACGTTCCAGCTCAGAGAGATATCCGAAGCCCACGTCGAGCGCTCTTCCTCTGTAAGACGAAGAGTGAACTCGCCGTGGCGCAAGCCGTTTCTCTCAAAGAATACCACATCGATTCTATCATCGCGTCTCTGAATGCCGGCAATAAGGTTACCATATGGCCTCCAGCTAAGGGCACCTCCCAGGCCATCAACTGGTTCACTGATACTGTCTAAAGCACCCTCACGCGAGTAGACTCGAATCGCGCGGCGCACGCCAGCCTCAACACTGTTCACAGCGACATAAGCACCGTCTCCGCGCCAAGTGATGGTCGTTCTTCCGTCATCATTGGCGCTCAGCTTGCCCTCGTCCACTTTCTCTGGGACGGTAGGATCACGGAGGGCCTTGGCCCGTTTGCCTTGGAATTGAGTCTCGCGCTTGCCCCAGCCCACGGAGACATGCTGGGAAGCGTTGAGGTCTTCTTGTGTGAAGGTGATCTCGGCCACATTCTCAAACTCTCGAGTCATGTACAGGAAAGTGTTGGCTCGAGTAGTCAAGGCCAGAAGCTCCTCGTCAGGCGACCAAGCGGCGGCTGTGATACCAACATCAACCGAGCCCACAATCTCAATCTTGTCCTCGCCGGGGAGAGGCTCTTCGCGTACGATGACAATATCACCACCTTCCAGAACCAGGCAGGCAGTTAGGCTGTCTGCGAAGTAGTGGAGGGACAGTACGCGATCGCATTCCAGCTCGGGAAGCGGGCATGGCGCATCCCAGGATGCGATGCACTCGAATACATCGGCTCCGACAGGCTCTGAGAAATGGGCGTCATGGCGCTTTCTCCGCAGCTCGATAACTGCGTTATTTGCTGTAGGACCAAAGGTACAAATGACTGCATCCGAAGCAGTGTCCCAAGCTGTCGCTGTTAGGGGGAGCTCGTTCTGCAGTTGCACCTCAGCGAGGCGCACGGTTTTAAGGTTGCGCATCTTCGGAATAGCAAATCTTCTACCCCGCCGCCATTAATCGACGGCCGCTTGAAGATATTGATAATTCTTTTGTTTTTTTGGCGAGAAGAAGAAAGATAGAAAGGATCAACCGACTGGAAGTGAAAAGGTCTCAGACGGCCGTCATAGAATCTAGATCTAGACTAGACTGGAGAAAGAATGGTGTTCTGTTTCTGGTTCTTGCGTTTGGGCGGCGGAGCGGTCGCGGGCACACCAATGATTCTCCCGTCGACAATTTAATTTTCCTTTCCTAGACGGATTTCGACCAATGACTTCATCCATATTCTAATAAGGTATCAGACAATCCGCGGCACTGCACCAACAACCTCCATGATGCCTCTTGCAACACTGGAGACCTATAATCTAAGCATTTCTCTACGTAAACCTATGTAATTGATGCCAGAGATATTATTCTGAATCAATACCGTGCTCAATTCCTCAACTTTATACAAATTTCCGAAAACATCCGATCTAGGATACACACTCGACCGCTGATCCCCCGAATCCCACCAATTTCCGTTGCGCGTGAATATTGCACAGCACAATAGGGCGCTTAGCGGGTCTTGTAGGTCTGCCAGACTGGAGTGAGAGTTAGATGATTGCTGAAGGGACGTGCTTGTGGAGCAATGAGTGACATACCAGCAATACCGAAGGGAGCACCAAAGCCGGTGACTAGTGAATGGAGTTAGTGACATTGACCCATGAAAGCCGTTCTCATCCGGCGCGAGGGGACTAACTCATGAAAGCCCAGTATCTCCAGAAGAAGTACTTGGTGAGGGGGTTGAAGGGAAGGTTGGAACGGGGACCCTCAGCGTAGTGGTAGGGGCTGCCGAGCTGGGCACGGGTGGTGGAAAAGCCACGACGGGCGACGAAAGAGGTGGCCATTCTGGCGCGGAGAGCGGAGGCGGCGTACATCTTAAGCAGAGTTAGAGTCAGTTGTTCGATGACCACGGACTTGCAGGCAGTTACGCACTTTGAGAGAGATGGTAGAGCACGAGTGTCAGGGCAATCTTACTGGAATCAATCAACGGGCGGAGGAAGAGCTGGGAGGAGTGGAACGATACTCCGTCGCGGCTGCCCTCCGGAAGTGCAGTCACGTGCTTGTCTATCTAATCGGGTAAGTTTCACCGGCGGAGAGCTGCTACTGCCCGCCCGCGGCTTTCATTGTGTTAACCAAAAATTTTGGGGCCGATCGCCTTTAACCCAACTCTTCTTCGTCTTGGAAGAGAGAGAAGCTTCGCAAGTGTCCAGGTCAGGCTCCGGTCTTGCTTTCGTTGATTGGCCACCATGGATGAGCTTTTCGACGTCTTTGACGACCAGCCTCAGGCTGTCAAGCCGGCTGAAGGAGCACCCAAGAGATCAAAGAAAGACAAGAGCAAGAAACGGCAGGTCAATGGCGATGTCAAAGCAACCGCCGCCGCAACCGCCGCAACGGAGGATATCGACATCCCCGACGCCCCCGACGCCCAGGTCCCTCCCCCCGTGGACGAGAAGGAACCCGAATCAGAAGAAGAGAAGGAAGCCAGCCCTGTTGCCGACTCCAATCAACAACCCGATGCGAAACGTCCGCGCCTCGCGACAAAGGAGGCTGAGCCTGTCTTGGTCGATTCGTTCGAGACGGAGCAGGAGCGCGAAGTCGCAGGAGCCACCGGACTGCAAGCTTCGGCCGATTCTGCGTCTTTGAAGTTATCCCACCAAGTTCGACACCAGGTCGCCATTCCGCCGAACTATCCCTACGTGCCCATTTCCCAACACAAGCCGCCGGAGAACCCTGCCCGCGTATGGCCATTTACCCTGGATCCTTTCCAGCAAGTAGCTGTCGCATCCATCCAAAGAGAGGAGAGTGTGCTTGTCTCCGCCCATACTAGTGCCGGAAAGACCGTGGTCGCCGAGTACGCTATCGCGCAAAGCTTGAAGAACAACCAGAGAGTCATCTATACCAGTCCGATCAAGGCGCTGAGCAACCAGAAGTTCCGTGAATTCCAACAAGAGTTTGGAGATTGTGGTTTGATGACTGGAGATGTCACTATCAACCCTACGGCTACATGCTTGGTCATGACCACCGAGGTAGGCGCTCTTTGGCTGGGAAGGCATTCAGAAGCAGTTCGCGCTAACGCAGCACATTTTCCAGATTCTACGTTCGATGCTCTACCGTGGCTCCGAGATCATGCGTGAAGTGGCCTGGGTCATCTTCGACGAGGTTCACTACATGCGCGATGCCAGTAAGTCCTACGGACCTGACGTTTGCCTTTTTCTTGCATATAACTGACAACTCCGCAGCCCGAGGTGTCGTCTGGGAGGAAACTATCATTCTCTTGCCCGACAAGGTTCGGTATGTCTTCTTGTCGGCGACAATTCCCAATGCCATGCAGTTTGCGGAGTGGATCGTGAAGATGCACAACCAGCCCTGCCACGTTGTGTACACCGACTTCCGACCAACCCCGTTGCAACACTATTTCTACCCGGTCGGCTCTGAAGGACTGCATTTGATCGTTGATGAAAAGGGTGTCTTCCGCGAAGATAACTTCCAGAAAGCGATGAGCAGCATTGCCGATAAGAAGGGCGATGACCCTTCGGATGCCATGGCTAAGAGGAAAGGAAGGGGCAAAGACAAGCGCTTGAACAAGGGCGGCCAGAATGACGAGAAGAGCGATATGTACAAGATCGTTAAGATGATCATGCTTCGGAACCTCAACCCTGTTATCGTCTTCAGTTTCAGCAAGCGCGAGTGCGAGAACGGTGCTCTTCAGATGAAGAATCTGTCGTTCAATGACCCTTCGGAAAAGGAGATGGTCCAAACAGTTTTCGATAATGCTCTTAAGATGCTCTCGGAAGAAGATCGGAATTTGCCCCAGATTCAAAATCTCCTACCGCTTCTGCGCCGTGGTATCGGTGTCCACCACTCTGGGCTGCTTCCTATTCTCAAGGAAACCATTGAAATTCTGTTCCAGGAAGGTCTTATCAAGGCTCTGTTTGCTACTGAGACCTTCTCCATTGGCCTGAACATGCCGGCAAAGACTGTTGTGTTCACCAGTGTGAGGAAATTTGACGGCTTCAGTCAACGTTGGGTTACTCCCTCGGAGTTCATCCAGATGTCTGGTCGCGCTGGCCGAAGAGGTTTGGATGACCGTGGTATTGTGATTATGATGGTTGGAGAAGAGATGGATCCTGCGGTTGCAAAGGAGATCGTACGCGGCGAGCAGGATCGGCTGAACTCGGCTTTCCACCTGGGCTACAACATGATTCTCAACCTCATGCGTGTGGAGGGTATTTCGCCTGAGTTCATGCTCGAGAGATGTTTCTACCAGTTCCAGAACACGGCCGGTGTTGCCGAGCTTGAGAAACGTATGGTCAATCTATCCCGAACTGTTTACTATCATGCTAACTGATGTCACAGAGCTTGCGGAATATGAACAGAAGCGTGCGAGCATGAAGATTGAAGACGAAGGCACCATCCGTGAATATTATGACTTGCGGAAACAGCTTCAGAAGTTCACCGATGAAATCAGGACCGTCTTCACCTACCCCGACTACTGCCTGCCGTTCATCCAACCTGGTCGCTTGCTTCATGTGAAGCATAAGGATCACGACTTCGGCTGGGGTGTCGTTGTCAACAGCAAACAGCGCAAGGCAGCGAAGGGCTCGAGTGAAGAGTACACTCCTCACCAGCAACACGTTGTCGACGTTTTGCTCCAACTCCCCGATGGCAACTCTGTGGGTACCAAGTCCTTTGAAGACATGCCATCTGGGGTGCGGCCGCCTAAGGAGGGCGAGAAGACATCTATGGAGGTCGTCCCAATTGTGCTTAGCTGCATTCAGGCCATCGGTAAACCGCGCGTTTTCCTCCAAAAAGACTTGAAATCCAAAGACGCGCGAAATTCGATGAAGAAAACCCTTGCTGAAATACACAAGCGTTTCCCCGACGGCATCGCTACCATGGACCCGCTTGAAGACATGCAAATCAAAGATGATAGTTTCAAGAAGACTCTTCGTGTGAGTAGACTCGTCCTTGAAACCATGTCTGTAAATCACTAATCAATCAACAGAAAGTCGAAGTCCTAGAGTCTCGCCTGTTCACCAACCCATTGCACAACTCCCCCCGTCTAGCGGAACTGTACGATCAATATTCGGAGAAAGTGGAGCTTGGAAACAAGATTAAGGAGACGAAGAAGAAGATCTCAGACGCCATGTCTATCATGCAGCTCGATGAACTGAAATGCCGCAAGCGGGTCCTTCGTCGGTTCGGGTTCATCAATGAAGCCGAGGTCGTACAACTGAAGGCTAGAGTTGCGTGCGAAATCAGCACGGGTGACGAACTGATGCTCAGTGAACTTCTTTTCAACGGTTTCTTCAACAAGCTTACGCCGGAGCAAGTCGCTGCTGTTTTGAGTGTCTTCGTGTTTGAGGAAAAGACCAAGGAGACCCCTGCTCTAACACGGGATGAGTTGGCCAAGCCCCTCAAAGAGATCCAAGCGCAGGCTCGGATCGTCGCCAAGGTCTCGCAGGAATCCAAGCTGGCCGTCAACGAGGAAGAATACGTCAATAGTTTCCACTGGGAACTGATGGAGGTCATGTATGAGTGGGCGAACGGGAAGTCCTTCTCTGATATCTGGTGGGTTCCTTTCTCTTGCTCGTGAATCGTTCTCCCGCAATGCTAACCTACCGTCTGTGCAGTCAAATGACCGATGTCTACGAGGGCAGCTTGATCCGAGTTTTCCGCCGACTCGAGGAGTGTATGCGCCAGATGGCTCAGGCAGCCAAGGTCATGGGCAGCGAAGAACTTGAGAGCACTTTCGAAACCGCCCTGACCAAGGTGCGTAGGGATATCGTCGCCGCCCAGTCCCTGTACCTATAAAGCACCATACTATCGTTGTTTCTGTCTTCTCTCGCTTCGACTTTGGTGGTTGGGCTGTTTCTTTTATTACCTTGGTGGTCGCATATCCGGCGTCAGGCTTCACAAAAAGGTTTATGTATGGCTTTTTCTTGCCGTTCTTCCGTTTCTCACATTGTTTTATGTCTACATATTCCTTCTCTGTAAATGAGGGTGTCAATCTTGTGCGACACTCGATTCTAGATGGGCGCAGTCCTCTTTACAATCCCAGCTGGCCGTTTCCCAGTTGATCTACGATCGATTTATCTTTTTTTTTCTTCTCGTCCTTCTATCAATCGAAACTGTAGCCACGATCAAAATGGGTAAATCGAATTGGGCTCTTTGTGAAATGTGTGGGGTACTTGAGGGGAGCCGACGAAGTTCGCCAACTAATCATGGATTGATTGGCAACAAGAAAAACCTCTTTGGCAGTCGTCTAGACAAAGGATACAGATGAATCAGTAGTGTCTATCAATAGTCCTTGCCCCACCGAGGGTGTTTACAACTTCTTTGAGTGAGCAACAGCCGCTGCCAACCAAAACCGAATCCCCCAGCAATAGCAGCAAAACCCGCAACAAAAGAATGAGGACCGTACACGGGATCTGGATCGGAAGCTACATTCCTTTTTCTTTGACCTTGGTTCTAAGTAGTGATCTGAGACGGCAGGCATCCTTTGAGAGAGCCACTTGGAATCTTGTCCTTGCTGGCGTACCATTTTCCGTATCTTCCATCGGGGTGTATATTGCGCAATATGTTTCAGATGCAGTCAAGATTCGAAGATCGAAAAAGAAATCCTAGGGACTTTCCGCGTATCGAATCGAACGCGGGGACGGGGAATTGTCCAAGCGTTGCGATGAGTGATATTGTGCGTACTGTACGTGTTGGCTAAGAGGTCGCATGACTGTTTCATCCTCTCTCTCTCTCTGACATGGAACTACTGCCGTAGGAGTTGGTCTATTTGCGGGATGATCTTGAGAGAGAAGGTCGGTACGGGGTAAGACAGGGCTGCTTGACGGAGCTGATGCGTACATGCACTGTAGGTTACTGTAGATATCGATCTATGGGCGGGAATATCAACCTTCTTTTTATTGTTACGGTGTCTGACCGATGACAATGTCTAGCGTTGTGCCATGAGTTCTGTAGCGTTCCTTGACTCTTCCGGTATCGGGTGGGCTAATCCTGAAATTTAAGTCTTACTGTTCGCAGAAAGAACAAGATGGGAGGGGAGGGAGGCGACCCCGCAAGGATGGTGGTAGATGTTGATGGTGAAGTTTTGGCGCAAGGTCGTTCTCTGCGTTGTGCTCTATCTACTGGTAACCGATCTAAACTCATCCACGTCGACAGTGCATTGCCTGTGTGAGGCTGACTTAAGTCCATACTGGGGCATGTATCTATCCGAGTTTCCGAATCACGACTGGAGATAACTACAACATTGGCGGAGAGTTTAGTTGATCTATTGGCGCTGCCGGGTGGCCTTGGTATCGCTGGTTTTGGGGGGGGGGGGGTGGGCTTTGTTGGCGTGAATGACCATGAATCAATCTACTTCGCCTAAAATGAATGGTTCGCTTGCGCGAGACGGCCAATGTGTTTATGACGGCTGAGGACCCTTCGAGTACAGTACTTGACTGGCTTGGTATCCCTAGAGCATGGTGGCAATGCTGTCAGGGTCATATTTGGCTCAGATGCGGTTTGATCTGAGTCAACCAGCGTGGTTAATTTCCGAGATGATCTAGATATGTGAGACTGCTTTCAGACTATTGCAATCGTGCAGAGAGCAGCTCTGTATGGTTCATGTGGGATTCAAGTGCTTCTGAGAGGAAGGAAGGGGTCCCAAAGAACGAAAAGAGAACTGAATCATGTCGGACAGTTTTTTTTTTTTTTTCTTCTCTCTATTGTTTAGAGTTGACGCTTGGTTAAGTAGTGGTCATGCGGGCGACGAGAAGTATGCGGATGGATTGAGAGATTGCTGCTCTACTGCAAGACCCCGGAAATTAAAACAATGTAAGATTTCCTTGCCACGGGGCTGCGATGCGGATTCTTGCAGATGATGATGAGTTACGGAGTATTGAGTGTAGTTGTTGTGTTAAAGGGAAGAAGGGAGGGAGATGGTGGTGATGCTCAGTAGAATACAGAGTAGAATCTCTGATTAAAGAAAGTGCATTGAAGGCTTGCGTTGCCTCCCGCAACCCGTCCCGAGGCTCCACCGCCTCTCGCTCTTCTTTCTTTGCTGTGTCTCTCTCTCTCTCTTTCCCCACCAAGAAGGCAAACAGTCATTCAGGTTAACTGAAACCTTTCTTAGTCTTTCTTCTCCCACTCCACTTCATTCCCATTCCTGCAACTCCACCACCAACTACCACCTTCATCACCACCACTACCACCACTACCACCATCTTTTCCTTTCCCTTGCTTCTTCTTGCATTTCTTTTCTCTTTCTCCTACTTTTCCAAAACACTCCCCTCTCTTTCTCTCTCTCTCTCTCTCTCTCTCTCCTAGACATCTCCTCGTGCTCCTAGCTGACGACCTATCCGTCCCTCGTCCTCGTTTTTCCTTCGTTGGCTACGCTACGACCCTTCCTCTCCTTTTTCTCTCTTGCCCAACCTCAAGCGGTCGGTGGCCATCATCATGAACAGTTTGGTGGCTACACCACCTGTGCCTCCTCACCACTTCTACGAACCTTCTCGTCTCTCTCCTTCCCGTCCAAGTAAGATTAAATTCCTTATCAATCCTTTGAAATTGTTTTCCCGTATACTGATTGTCCCCGTCCCTTTAGTGTCTACCCCAACCCACACGCCCAACCGCAAACGGAAAGCTGATGATGATGGCAACGATCACGATGGCCGAATGTCCGCATCTCCCACCAACTCGCCCGCTTTCACTCCTCGAACCCTTCCATCCAACCGACACCATATCAAGCGTGCTCGTCCAAATGTCAGCGGGCGGCCTCTCTCCCTGCCCCGCTTGCTAGAGACCTTGGATACCAATGCTCTCCGGGGCGTTCTCCGCTCCATGTGTGAGCGTCATCCGGCCCTGATGGATGAGGTCATTCATACCGCCCCACGACCCAGCGTAGCATCCGCACTCCAGGTGCTTCGGAATTACCAGTCCAACCTTCAGTCATCATTCCCGTTGGGCGGCAGCTCTGAATCAGATTACGCCTACAACCGAGTCCGCCAGCCTTTGGGGAGTTTGTTGGACGCCCTCAGTGACTTTACACCACATTTCCTCCCGCCAAACGAAACACAAGCCTCCGTATCCTTGAGCTATTTAGATGGGGCAACCGACATAATTCACGCTTTGCCCCGGTGGCACACACCTCAGAACAATCTAGAGCGGGACTCTGCGTACGACGAGATTTGCAAGGCCTGGATCTTGGTGATTCGGGAGGCTGCCAAACGTGGCGGTGGTATTCAGTTACAGTACGGTGGTTGGGACCAGAAACTGGCAAAACACAACCAAAACTCCGGCGGTAAACTGCAGGCAGCCGTCAACGAGCTCGGTTCCAGCTTAGGGTGGATGCACAGACCGGATGCCCAAGGCTATGGAAGCCCTGGAGGTAATGACCTTGGATCCATTCGCGAGCAACTCTTGTCGGGCACATACGGGCTCGGCACCCCAGTCAAGGTTGGGCCATGGTAATGCCGCCAACAATCGACTGCCAGCTTCATCTTCTCCCATCTTCTTCCTCCCACCGACCTACTCCAAAAACGACATCCTTCACGACACTTGTTTTACCGCCCTCCCCATTCAGAGCTAGTGTCCGAAACCTCGACCGTGCAATGTCCACGTATGATACGATCACGATACTTTATCGCATGAAACTAGACTTAAGGGTCGGCTTGGCGTTTTGCAGTGTGCAAGCAAACATTTTTTTCTGTCTTTTGCTTTGATGTGTCATACTTTGGGAAGCCGCCGCCTTCATCGCCTACTCTCGATCTAGATTGCCAGATTTCAGGCCCCGGGTTCAATCCTTTTTCTTTGTGTTCAACATGTTCCATGCATCCAGATCCTCCTTGCATTGATGCAGTCCGGCATGGTTTTCCATCTTTCTTTCGAACATTGACTTCTTCATTCCTTTCCTGCATCCATGCGACTTCATTGCATTTATCTTATCATATCACGACGAAGCTTCAAACATTTTCGTTGACTAAACAACATACCTTGTTGTCGTCCCACAATCCTGTATACCCTTTTATTCCATCATGTTCCCTCAACTAATATCACCCTACCGGTGTCTGGCTTATTCATTGGGATTTTGCAAGGAGGCTTTCTCTACATTTTCTGCCGACCCTCCGCGGGCCAAGTTCTACGTGTCAATCTAAACTAAGAAGCAACAAAGAGCATTCGTTTTAGCAGTGGTGGAGGCTTGTACAGTTCACTCGGAGCGAATTGGGAGAATTTCAATGCAAATGCAGGGGTTGGGCTCTATACATCTGTCCTAATTGGTTAGTCGATGTCACTTTCGAGCAAAACCCACAAATCTTAGGCTGCATGCAGTGCCAAGGTAGCACGCACCAATTTGAAGCTCAATTGAAGCTCGATGGTTTTAGCAGTTGAGATGTATGGTATTTCTGTCTTGGCTGGGTGATCAGAGAAAAGTTATCCAGGGTCGAAAACAAAAACCCTTCCATCGAACACGCATCTGTAGCTCCCTGTGGTATGTAGGTCAATGGTCCCTCCGCTAGTGACTCGTAGGTGAGTGAGCCTCGCTCCTCCTCAATGCAATGACATCTGCGGGGACACACTGTACAGCTCACACCAGCGTCATCTACGATCCAACAACAAAGCAATGGAATCCTCGTGGACAAAGACATCTGCCTGTGCATTTATGTGTCCCGTGGCTACGCCGTACAGAGCAGGAAGGAGAGGCCCGGGGGAGAGGCCCGGGGGCGGGGGGGGACAATACTATGTCGATCCCGCAGGGTACAGTAGACGCGTACATACACAAACAGGGCGCACACAGCATACGGGCCAGTTCTTTTTGCATTCAATAGGGAGAGAGGGAGGTTTTACCCCTCGGGCCCAGTCCAGACAAAAGGGAAGGAGAGGAAATCGAACTCAAGACAGCGCACGTTTCACAACCCGGAACAGCCAGCCTGCATCTCCCCAGCCGCCTTGGTCTCCGGGCTTCTCGCAGACGGAAAGGACTTCCGATTCGGCGATGGAGATTGTGTCGGTGTCGTCTGCTCCAATTGATGGTGTTGCTGCTACTGCTACATGGGTCGATGAGGGGTCATTTTCAACGCTATCGGCTGATGGGTGAGGGGGATGGTCTGCGATGGTGATGGTTCGGGATTCGACTACAGTGCCGTCATTGCCGGTGCCACCACCACCACCACCACCACCACCAAAGGAAAGCGGCCAGTCCTCGACGCCGAATAGGGTCCATTCGACCATGCGGTCGATCCAGCTGCCGAGTCCGAAGCCTCGCTCCCGCGTGAGGCGTTGCAGTTCTTGCTCGTCGATCTCGTCTGACTCGTCGCCCGAGTCGAGGTACGGGTAGTCGGAGGTGAAGGAGGAGAGGTCGTCGTCGACCTCCTCTTCCTCGTCGAATTCGGCGTTCTCGTCGCGTTGGATGGAGGCCATCTCGGCGCGGATGCGCTCGTCGACGAAGTCGGGGATCAGGGGGCGGGTTTGTTGTTGTTGCTGTTGTTCCTCGATCTTCTGCGTGCTGGTGCTGGTCAGAAGGTCGGCCGTTCTGCTTTCGCGGCGGGAGGAGGCTGCGGTCGATGTTGCAGTAGTGGCCATGCCTAGACTGGTCATGGCAAGGTCGGCTCTACTGGCCACCCGGCTGCTGGGGCGGGACCGTGAAGCCCGTCTGGATCGGGAGTTGGCCGCGGCTGGTGTGGAACGTCCGGACCGGCCATGTCGAGGACTACCTCCGTGGGACCAGCTATAATGGTGGTGGTGGTGGTGGTTGTGGTTGAGGAAGTCCAGGGTGAGTTGATGGTCGTCAGAGACGAGGCTCGTCGAGCTCTGTCGTTTCACGAGCCAGCTCTGGCCTTTTTCTTCGCGGGTCGAGGAAGCGAGTGCGATGCCTGCGCGGAGCATCCATTCTGTGTCTTGATGGTGGTTTGCAGGGTGACGGGTACGGGTGCTACGGTTAGTGTGGTGGGTTTGGTGAGGTTGATGCTGCTGCTGCTGCTGATTATGATGATGATGAAGGGGGCTGCTCGCACTCCGGGCTTGTAGGTTGGGGTCGCTGGCGTGGTGGATGCGGCTGGAGCTCTTGCTCCGGGGATGGTGTCGCGTGCGGGACCCGCTGCGGGAGTGGGAGTGCGAAAGCACCCCCGGAGTGCCGGGCACGGAGAAGCTAGCCAAATAAGACCTTGCGGTGGGCGGGTCCGGGCTGTCGTGGTGGCTGTGGTGGGGATGGTTGAAGTAGTCTGGAACCTCTGCCTCCTCCCCCTCCTCGTCGGCGAGAAATCGAGGATTCAATGGAGCGAGAGAGACATGGTGCAGAGAAGGATATGATCGTCGCGATCGAAAGGCGCTCTGGACTGGTGGCTGCGCGGGGACCTGGGTTTGCTACAATAGGTGGTGGTGTTAGATGAGCATGGTGTAGGAAGGAGAAGGGGACGGAGTAGATTGCATCTCGAAGTATAGGTAGTTATAGATAGAGTGCTTACCTCCATCTGGCAGGATCCGATCGGTTGGATCGGAGATAACTTGAGAGACTGGGGTGAGAAAGTGACTCAAATGACAAATGTGGAGAGAGCGAGAGAGAGCGAGAAACGAAGGAATCGGAAGTTGGAAGGGAGCAAATGGAGTCCTTAAGAGGAAATCGTCGGCTCTCTGAGACTGGGATCAGCCTTGGCCCGCGCATGTGAAAATGCGGGCAGAACAAGACAGCCTGGAGGACAATGGCACCACCAACAATAAGTTAATCATCATGCATCTATCACTCCACCCTTCAATCAGTCGTTCCTACTTCAGGTGGACCGAGGTCAGCACTCGGGATTTAAAGGCAATCCTTACGAGGGGGTGGTTGGATCGGAATGGTAAAACCGCGTTGGCTGGGAATTGGTGCTCGTGTGGTGAGGCGAAAGTCAATCCACTAACTAATTAACCTACACAGCAGTTCCAAGTTGTAACTCTTTCTAATTTTATGCAGGCAAGCTGCTAATCTACAGATTAGATCGCAACAGCTGGGACTACTCTATGTACTGTAGGACATAACTTTTTGGTTTTACAGAGGAGGTAATTCATAGGCAGTACGACTTCGATTACTTCATGTGCTTGCTTCACCATCAGCTCCTGACCAAGTCACTTGGACTATTGTGTGCTGTGGTCAACCTCATACCTCGTACAAATAACAAGTTACCTGCTCCGTACTTGCAGTGGAACGCCACACCGCCCTGGCGAGGGAAGATCCGCTCTCCGTCGGCTTGCTTGTCCATCTTCCAACAACATCCTTCATCTTTCATCATTCATCATTGATTTTCCTGGAGCCGAGTTGACCCTACGTCTTCTTCCCTTGGAGCTCAAGCTTCCGTATACCTGTTTCCCCTTTAGTTTCCTCATTTGCTGGTGTCCTTAACTCCCTTCAGCCTCCTTGAAACCTGTAGCCATTACCTATCTCCTACTCCGTACCTTGTCTGCCCAGGCGCCTATCTGACCT